CAAAGAAAAAAAAAAAAGAAAACGGGCCGCCCCGGTTCTTCCTTGATGTGTGCGCTTTACAAAAAAAAAAAAAAAAAAAAAAAAAAAAAAAAAAAGTGACATCAGATAACCCCTAAAGAACAATACCACTGATGCATTTTTCAAATAACAAGTTTGTATGTGGAGAAAATTACAATTGATCACCTAAAAAAATAAAACAAAATAAAGATTTTTCTCCCTACCTATTTTGTATGCCTTAAGAAAAAATTTGGAAACAAAATCCTGACACAAAGGATCATAATTCATGCATGAAAAGGTTAAGTATTTTTTGATGATGTGAAAAATGTAAGTAAGGGTAAAAAATTATTTTCCACATTATGCAGACTATCAAAAATTTATTTCAATAATAATAAATTTTGTATATTTATTATGCAAAAATGTATGCAAGTTTGTGTGCATAAGTGTGACCAGAGCAGAGCTTAACCAACAATGGACTCACTGTGACAGACAGGACACTGGAGCTGCCGGGGGAGTTCTCAGGCACTCTGGCGATGTAGTACTCGGACGTGAAAACGGGGACGTTGTCATTTGAGTCCAGCAGGTTGATCACTATGTCAGCTGTCGCACTGAAACGCTCAGGAGTGTCAATCTCTACCGCCAGCAGCTGGGGAGAGAAACGGACAGAGCGACGGGTCAGTTTATTTTACGGTTCAATTGTTTACAAGAGGAGAGAATTTAAATTAGCTCTGAGTCGTATACACTTTATATCCTGGGGGTTTTACACATTTCTCATGAAACATTTGGTAACGGAGGAATATATATATTATATATATAAAGGACTCAATTTTTGTTTAGAATTGCTTCTAAAATGTTTGATGTGAGACTTGCTACTGATTTAAAAAAAATTATTTGGAGATGAATTTGTTGCTTGAAAAACTATTAAAATAAGAGTCACATTCAACCCAGTTTACATAATCTCACACTGAAACATGATTCTTTGGTGAATCGTGACTCATAATTCGCCCATTTCTTTCAGCCTTTGACCCCTGCACGTTTTATTAGAATTAAAAACATTCAGAAGGATGTGACAGGAAGTGAAGAAAAATGTTAAAAACTGAAGCACAGTGGCATCTTTTGGTCACTGAATCTTCTATCTAGTTAAACTTTTTCTGTCATTCTTCCATAATAACAAAAATATTATGGAAAAGTGTTTCATGGCAGTGTCTTAAAAACATTAGGAAAGTCTGGACTACAAAAAAGGCTTTTCAAAAAGGTAAGGCTTCTTTAAACCAGAATTAACCTGGTCCAAAATAGTTTTTGCTTTGTTATTCTTTTGCACGCACAAAGCATTATATAACTCATTGAAACTAGTTTAAAACATAAAACATAGTCTCTGTCAGCACAAGTACAGTTTCTATGACACTCCTACTAAAATTCAATTGCACACTGACCAGAGTTTACCTTAAAAGATAGGGTTGGTCCCTTTTCAAAGTCTATACCAGATGCGTCCTCCACAATGATGGTCACCTGCGCTTCATTCAGGACCGTCTGGGGAACAACTCGTAGAACTCTACTGGGTCCCACCAGTCTCAGTTTAAACTTAGCGTTTGCCCCCTGAAACGGTCAGAAATGTCTAGTGAATATAGATGTTTTAGAAATAACACCCATATAAAAGGGTAATTATGACGCCAGATGGAGAGAATAAACATAATGGTTGATAGATTTCCTGAATATCTTTTGTTGCGTAATCAGATGTACTTGAAATGTTGGATAGATATTTACGTAATGCTGAAAGATGAAAAAAAAAACACATCTATTTTTAGGAATATAGATCAGTTGATGAAATGTTGGGGATGAACTCACCTGGTCAGAGTCGTTCACTGTGATCTTGAAGCCTCTGAGGATCTCTCCAGCAGGAGGATGCTCATACATGGTGACCTCAAACTTGCTCTGGGGTCCATTTTCTCCATAAAACGTAGGAGGATGGTTATTAAGATCCACCACCCGCACAGTCACTGTGGTGACGTCGTAGTCCAACAGCTGGTTGTTGGATCCGACCTCAGATGCCTGGAGATCAACACGTGTGAGAGATTCACTATATTTACAGTGTGTTGCAAAATGTTTTCATATTTTTGTCATATTTCAATTAAAGTCCCTTATGTCTTTTTTGAGATTTTGTGTGAGAGGAAAGCAAAAGGTAATGTAATTGTGTATTTGTGGACTGGAAGGAAAATGAAACTCAATTTCAATCACATAGATGGACAGATTTTCTTTAGGCGTATCAGAGTAAATGGTGCTGGATTCAGATGTTCACCACAGTTTTCTGATTTATATTTTGTTTTTGTTTTTCAAAATGTTGAAAACCATGTGGCTCCACTTGGCAACTGTGGACTACGTTGTGTTGGTCACTCAGACTGAAATCCGGTAAAAACATATTGAAGTCTGTTGTTGCATGTTGGAAAATGTGAAAAGAAATTTAAGGAGTAAGGAGACGCTGACACCACACTTTTCAGATTTTTCGTCAGAAGAAAATTGTACCCATCTGTTATTTTACTTCTACGTCTTTTAATCACATAAAATCAAGTCTGTGTTTTACAAAATGAGGAAAAAGTGAAATTTAGTTTATTTCATTTTTGTTCACTTCTGGTTACTTTTGCAAGACTGAAAGGTGGCTACACCTGAAAAAAGTGATTGTGAGAGGAATAGAAAAAAAGGAAGTCACCTTCACTTTTATTTCATAGAGTTCATTTTTCAGCAGAGATGGAGGAGTTGTTAGAGAAATGCATCCACTGGTGCTGTTTATCTCAAAAACACCATCACTCCCTGGAAAACGGGGATGAAAACATGTCAGATCAAGTAACGTGGTATTATTAACAACACGAAGCTCAACTGGAGATATTTTTTGTGGATTTTCATCCTTACCATTCACAATGGAATAATGGATAGGGTTGGGATTGCCTTGATCCCCGTCTTTAGCAGACACTGTGTATATTTCAGACCCCTGAAATGACAAAAAAAAAAAGTAATGGGTGAAGAAAGAAACAATATTGTAAAATTTATGTTGCATATGGAGGGCAAAGGTCTTACAGGAACCGAGACTTCGTAGATGTACCCAAAGTATGGGGTTCCCACAAAGAATGGGGGCATGTCTTGGGCATCAAGGACATTGATTGTTACAGTAGCCGTGGAGGTCAGCACCTGGTGCTTCCCTTTGTACTTCCCACCTCCATCCTGTGAAAACAAAGGCACTTCGCTGCACTCAAATTATTCTGTTTAATACAAAACAAAAATACACAAAAAAAGGCTCAACTCTCAGTGGACATCATTTTCAAAGTGAGGTCATTCAGAGAGAACTGGCACTACCGCTGACAAGTTACTGACTGCTGTCATGACTCTATAAAGTTACGGCAGGAGGTACTAAAAAAAAAAACTTTTTTGGCAAGACACACTGCAAAAAATGTCAAAAAAAGCTTTTAAAATATTCCTTCAGTAGGTTATAAGAAACACAAAATGACTTTCATGCTTCTAAACCATATGTGTCAAACTC